CTGCAAGTATGTTTTATTCGCCACATAACCAGCAGAAAGTCAACCTTAAAATATGGCTTTTAAGGACTTATTGATGGTCATGTTGACAAAGGATAGAGTAAAGACTTTCTAAAGTTGCTGAAGTTTTATGCTCCGGAATTGCTTCAAATCCGTATTTACTAAATAGAGGTTGAACACTTAAGCTGGACTTAAATTGACTTCATGTAAGTAGCATTATCTTCATCTTTTCCTTACTGATGCTGTCTTTACTTTGCATGGTTACACTTGACTTGCTCTGACCCTTTTTATCTCCCAGCCTCTGCAATGCCTGCAAAAGATTATCTTTTGAAACCTTTTTTAACAGGAAAATCAGTGCAAATTGATGCTGCCGTTCTGTTGAAGGACACAAATATTCTTCTGGACTCACGAGAAGATTCCACCAATTCTAGCCTGCCAGCCCTACATTCCATAATTCGTCAATCTAGTTCTCCTTTGCGATCCCACCACAAGATGTGTCTCTTTAATTTATCAGAGCATTCTGTCACCCTACCAGTAACATTGCGTCTCTACCCTAAGGCTCCTGTCTTCGTGGACATTTCAACGAAAGAGAAGAAGGCTAATGATCATGTTGACGAGACAATGCTCAGACTCATGGGACTGCGCATCTGGAACTATAATCCGGCCGATGTGAAAAGCAGAAATTTTGGCGTCAAAATGATTAGTCTCTTTGACGAAAACCAACACCCACTGACTCTGTTCACAGATACATGCACTAACCTAGGCTCTACCGAAACATTTCTGCGCAAGGGACTGGGCACGTGGGCTATAGACTTTAGTCAAACCCTGCTTTTTTCTCCACCGCCAACACCATCCAAAAAGGTCAATTTGACCTGTCTCCAACCGGCCGATCAATTGCCGTTTGGACTTATCTACCGAATTGAAGTGTCCTTTCTGGATCCACCAGCTATTGCTGACATGCAGTTGATAGGACCGGATGGAGAAGCAATCCCGCTGGGCTCTGGCGGCTTTGGACGTGTATTCAGTCTCAACGACGCGTCCAGTCTGGCCGCATCAACAGCAATGTCGGAGAAGAAGTGGCTTGTGACACACTTGAAGAGGCTTGCCATTAAATCGGCTAAACAGTCGACAGACATCGAGACGGAAGTGATCTGTTTTCTTGTCCTCTTTGACACATTTGTGACAGCCTCAGGACTGCGAATCTGGCTTCTGGATCCGGCATTTCAAAGAGAACTCAGAGTGACAGTTTTGGTGGATGACATTTTCTTCTTGAAGCAGGTGCACCTTCCTCAGATGGACGAGTTGGCCGGCCTAACAACAACAGTCGACAAGCATGTGTTGAGCAATACTTCCATTGTGCCTGGTGCCAGCCTTCTAATGGCACTCGGAATAGAGGTATACACAGATTTCACACACACACACACACACACACACACAAAAGAGTATCGAGAAATTCAAGTACTGTGTGAATTGGTTTGGGCTC